TGGGTATACGGAAGCATTCTCTGTGAAATATTTTTATGCTTCTAAACAGTTTACTTACCCAGGCATGCAGTCTACATCTGGAGCTTTTAGAGCGATCTGTGTGCAGGCCTTCCCCGGGTAGCACTCCCTGCAATCAGCAACCTCATCCTGCCCCTCTAAGGGGTTGAAAGACCCTGCTGGACAGGGTATCGGGTCGCTGGTTCCCTTAGGGCAGTAGAAACCAGGTGGACATTTAAGACAATCCTTCACACCTGGAAAAAAAAGTTAGAATACTGAAGTCAATGTAGGTATGTTACATAAACCTCCCTTGTTATGTTAAGTTGTGAGGATTTTTTCTCATTAGCTTTTGTCTTTTTAATCAGTTTGTTACTTTTTTTGTAATTTTCAACAAAATCAATTATATGTAAATTTGAACAATTCTGGTTTGATGTTTACAAATATTAATTTGTGTAGATACCTTATTAATTTGGGAGATTTTAATTATTTTATGTGAACCATTTTTATTGTAGGGTGAAATATTTTTGTTCAAATATTGTTGTTGAGAACAATAAATGACTCAAATCTGTTCATAGCCACCATTTCCACAGCTCTTGTCCAACTATCATAAATCCTCCATCAATTTGGTTAAATATTGTAGCTACTCTCATTTCAAAATAGTCCACAGACTGTCAACAATATTGAGGTCAGAGTCTGAAAGAGTTGAAACAAACGATATGTTGATCCCAAAGACTCATTAAGATTAGTTTTGGGACAAACCAGCTGACCTTTAGCCTGCTGAAAGGCCCTGACCTCTGCTCTTACTTGTTAACCACCCCTGAAATGAAAGGTTTATCACATAAAATTACCATATTTGAATGAAATATTTCAGTCTTGTTCATAACAATGGTTAAATATCAAACCAGAATAATGCTACAATCTTATTGACAGCTTCAAAAAGCATACTACTCAATGAATTTAGGTCTATATGAAATATTTGAGCCAGTGTACAAAAGTTCAACAGTGTGAAGAAGGACAGTTTAAATAAAGTCCAAAATCAACATGACATGCTTATGGTATCTGCACTTCTGGCTGAAACTGCCCATGTAGAAAACTGACTTATTGCTCCTTGGTGAGGGGTGAAGGTCCCCGATGGACAAGTCACTTCGTCCACTGTGCCAGCTGGACAGAACCTTCCTCTAGCACACGGCAAACCTGGACCTGAAGACCCTGTTTAAGGTAAAACCCAAAGCATGAGGTTTGGAAAAACCTCTTTGAAGTCTTTCACTGTTAGAGCGCATTTTAAAAAAATGAACTCTCTGTGTGCGTGTTTTCTTCAAGTGAGAAACATTTACTTTCTGGGACATGTTTTATTTGTATTTCAGTATCTGTTGCTCCAGTGAAGTGAGTTTTATCAGAACAAAGACTAACCTGCGGGACAGAAGCGTCCCTCTTTGCATCTTTTACAGGCTGCCCTACTTGTCTGACCCAGTTGTTCCCCTGATGTACCAGCAGGACAAGGTGACCCATGAGGGGTGGCGGTGCCCTCTTCGCAGTAATAGCCCTGTGGGCACATGAACTGGGAGGTGGGTCTCTGCGAGCTCCCTTCCAGACAGTAAAACCCTTGAGAAAAGTATTTATAGATTAGAAGAACATTTTGTTACGGACACAGCCTGTATGGTAAGATGACACTTCCAAAGATGGGAAACATTTAGAGCTGCAATTATAAAGTTTGAAGCCCACAGAATTTGTGCAAATCTTTGGACTTGAAAACATTTAGAGAGCTTGCTTTTGATAGAGCTGTACCGGCAGGGCAGATTGCACAGTCTTTCAGTCTCTGCAGACCTTCTTTAGGACCATAACTCCCTGCAGGACAGGGTATAGCTACACCTCCCACACAATAGTGACCTAACAACGAGATAAACAGGAACCAACTCGTTTGATTTCTTTCTGGAAGCAAAAAGAAAAAGAAAAAAAAATCCCCATTAAATTATTAACACTAACCTTTTGGACAGGTAATACAATCTCCATCTTCCTTTACAGGTTTGTAGGTTCCCGGTCTACAGGTGTGACCAGATCTGAGGACAGACTGGCTCCAGCGGGGTGCCACAGCGCCCCCACACAGCAGGGATGTATCATTACACCTACGGCAGGAAGTCTGTCCAGATGTGGAGGTCCAACCAGAAGGACAGGGGAGTGGCTGTGACATCCCACTGTTTGGACAGTAGTTTTCTGCAGCAGCCATAAGGCACAATCTTAGGTATTCTGGCACACATTTATGACATTTAACTATCAAATAGAACAGACGCACTAGCTAAAGAGAAGTAATATTTTCTAGAAGCAATACCTGCGGGACACTGTAGACACAGAGCCGTACAAACAGTGGAGTAAAATCCCGGGAAACAGTCAATACATTCAGTGTGATCCACGTCAGGCTCCTTTCCAGGTGCACACTGTGAGCACATAAAAACCGTAAAAAAAAAACAAGTAAATTTTCCTTTTGTGCAGCAAGCTGTGAAAGCGTTTTCAATGCTTTTCACGTCTTTAATGGTTGATGGTGACCTTATGAGGAAGCCCAAACTTGCAAACAGAATCAAAAGGGCAGGTCAGACACTGTAGGACCCCTTCGGGTGAATGTTGTCCTGCTGGGCATAAATAAAGTGTTCCATTGGTGACGTCACATGAAAAGCCTGCAGGACACAGCCGGCAATCCACTCTGTCCTCTGAACTGATCAGGCCTGGAATACAAGGCTGCAACACACAGCAAATAGCAATGAGCTCACATTAATTTATACAAATATGAATTTGGGTGATATGTGTATATGTAAATATAGAAATACTTGTATTTATATTCAGCTTTCTAAGTTCAAGCTTGGCATAATCACCGTTTGCTGCAGCTACAGGAGCCAGCTTTTTGGGATATGTTTCTGGAAGCTTTGCATATCTATAGACTGAAATGTTTGTCATTTTGTAGCTTTAGCTATTTTGTCCTCTGAACAAAATAGCTAAAGCTCAGTCAGAATGGAGGCACATTAGTTCAGATCATGCCACTGACTTTCTGTTCAAGCCTTTTGAAGCTGTTTGCTCACCAATGCTCTCTTACAAAAGTAATATGAATCAACCTTGAATTCTTGCTTTTTATTTCCAATCACATGTGGCTTTCTGCTCACTAAAGTTAAGGAATTTTGTCACTTAGTCAAAATAAAGCATCTTATCTTTAACATTCCAAACGATTGTAGTATTGCTGTTTTCAACTGTTTGCCATCTGCAACATCAATGACCTCATATGAGATGAAAAATAAAGGCTCATGAAGAACAGCCATCTTATTTTATTTTAATTAAAATAACCCGTAATTGTGTAATTTCTATGTTAACCATGTGAACTGTATTACCAAAACACAAATTGCAGATGTGTTCAAAGGATTTGGTTTAGTGTTATTAAAGGACAAAGTTATGAATCGCATTAAATCCTGATAAAATGCATTTGATTTTGTGATTGTAAAGTAACAAAAGTTTGGGAAGTTGAATGAGCATCCAAACTTTTGAAAGCACTGCAACTGTAACTACGACATTTTGGTGTTAAAATGTTTGAAAAACCTTTCTCTTTGATGTTATTTATTTCAGTGTTGTAACAAGTAAAATTGTTGGGAAAGGGTTATTTGAATGTAAATCATACCGTTTGGGCTCAAGCAATCAAAGGCTTGTGAAAGAGTCTTTTACCTTGCAGTCATCGATGCTGATTTTCCCTGTGTAGAGGTTGAATGTTCCTGCTGGACATCGATTAGGTGCAGATACATTTCCAGGGCAACTATAGAGCAGAAATAAAGTAGGCGAGACATCATTAATTATTAATTTCTTCTATCCCATGTAATAAATAAATAAATAATAAAATACTGTCCTATAGCTTCAAATATGCCTGACAACTTACAAATGACCAGAAGGACAATCCAAACACAGCTGCTGGTTGAAGTACGTTCCTTCTGGACACACACCGACAAACACTTCGTCACTGAGCATAAGATCTGCACTCCCTTCTGCGACTTCTCACACCAAAATAAGGAGAAATTGGTCATTATGTTAATAAATGTACTTTAGGAGAAAATAAAGGCATGAAGATTGTTTTTCTTACCTGAAGCAGCTCCAGGTTTTATGAGCAGCAGAAGAACCACAGGAGCTAAAATATATAACAAATACATAGCCCTCACCAAGCACATCATATCTGGATGTCTAATTCTGTGTACAAGAACAGGATTTCTCCATTTCCAGAGCACAGCATTTTGGTCTAATCCCACACGGATAAATGTTTAGAGCCAAGAAAAGCGTGAGGCCTGTTTGCCTGAAAGTGAAATGAGTAGGAAATGTGATTCCCAGGTGGTGACTGAAGCTGACAGTGATGTGCAATTAGGTTCTGTAACTGTATCTGTGACTTTCATTATGCATGAGCAAGTGCAAATGCTAGCCTAGTTGTTTCTGTTAGTGGATCACAGCAAATTATTTATGTTACCCAGGAGCTGTCATTCACTGTAAGTAGGAGATTTAAGACACAGAATATATCAAAGTCATTTATTTGCATGGAATAAATGGATGCAAACAAGGTACATTTTGTTTTCCCAGGGAAATACTTGAAAAATACATCATTCAAATACAGAGAAGCATTAAACGTTGACTGCAGCAGACACAAAGCTACAAAAGCAAATGACACCCTCAGCCTTCCTGCATTAGCATGTGTTGTGAAGCCTTTAAAAAGATTGGTGTCAACTGCATGAGCATAGTATTAATCCACAAATAAAAAAACTTTATCTTCAGTAAAAAAATATAAAAATAAAATAAAATAAAAAATCAGTAGTGCATAATTGTGTTCCATGAAAAGTGCTGTTTTTTAACAGCACTTTTCTGACAGGAAGCCAGATGCGATGTATGGAAAGTTGTGCATTATTTTTGCACACCCCTGAATCCTTTTGAACACCACTTCCTGTACCCGAACTGAAGAGGAGAAACATATATGTGGGTATGTGCAGGTGCAACCAACAGCAGGCTGCAAGAACACAGGGTATTTTATGTTTGCATATAAGGAACAAAGAAATAAGAAAAAAGGAGCGGCAATGCAGGTCTTAGTCTACTTGATTATACTCTGCCTTTCGGTTCTAAAAGGTAAAACAATTATTCCTAATGTTTCATCTTCATGGTAACATAACTTCTCTTTCTCAACTGCAGCTAAATTATCCTCTTTTTGCAGGAAGTGTGATATCTGAAAATGCAAAGGCACCCACTGATTACAAGATGGTAAGACAGGGGCAAAATCTCATGCTGAACTGCACCTACAACTGCTCGTCTGGATTTGTCCGTGGCTCCTGGAGGACAGAGTCTGATATCTCTCCTTGTAACACAACTAAAAGTAATGCCAGCTATTGCACTGTGTCCATCTGCCTATCAAACATTTCTACTCAAGATACAGAGAAGAACTACAGATGCTACACAGAAGACACGGAAGACCCTGAACTCACAAAAACAACAGTTCACACTGTTTTCCTTCGACTTCAAGGTATACAATGCTCTATAAATAAATGTAAATAAATGTGTAATAAATGTTATGTATATATATATATTTTTTTTTTAATATAAAAACTTGTGTTTTTATATAACATAAGTTGTGTAAGAAAGCAAGGACTGACTCACCCTTTCTCTTGCATTTGTAGCTCAAGACACTGTCTCAAACTGGACAAGTAACCCAAACCTTCTTCTTGAAAATAGTGAGAAGCCTTTCTAATATCTGATACAAAATATTCCATATTTGCAACAATTATTTGAACAGTTTTTGATTAATCCTTATGTTTTAATACAACAATCTTAATTATCTTAGCATCGCTTGCTACTGAATCAGGGACTTCAAACAAAGGTGAGGCAGTATCAAAAACAAAAACATTCTAAATTATGAAAAAAAAAACTGTTTTTACATTTAATAAATTCTAATACATCTGTTTAATGACAACAGGACAGTTTAATGTAATGAAGGTTTTGGCAGCGGTAACCGTCACAGTGGCCATGGTTCTTGCAGCTTTGGCCGTCTTCTTGTGCGTAAATCACAACAAGTCGATCTGGAAGGGTAGAGGTGATTACAATGTAGTATTCTATTGCAAAAAAATAAGTGTAAATCCTAGATGAATGCACAGATTTGAATGTAGTGTGACAGCAATGCCTCTCATTCCAGGGCAGCGGGTTGTGTCCAAATCATGGTGAGCCATCTAAGCTCATACTTGTTTACATTTCTGCGCAATTAACGGTGAAACCTGTGATTTAGAATTTACTAATCAACCTTATTTTACATTTTTCCAGCTCATCACAATCCCCAAATGCTGTCCTCCTACCAGTAAAAGGTAACACACAAAACATATCGGACAAATAGAGACATACGAGTTTCGAGTATCGGATAAATGAAGAACATTCAGAAAGACCTCTTGAACTAATGTTTGCCATCTTTTCCATACAGGCACGCTATCGACACAAAGTGAGAAAATAACCTTACGAATTCCTCCGCCTGGTAAGACAAACACGCAGAACCATCTTTCTTATAGTCCACATGTCGGCTGATGTTTATAAGTAAACTGTGTTGTTCTGTTTGACCCAGACAATGAGGGGGACACAGAGGTTCCATATGCGGACATAATGATCACCATCCGAGGGGTCAGTACACCCGAGCTCACTAAGGTTGGCTACTTAGGAACAGGAGAGGTGAGAGACAAAGCAAGACAAGCTCAAACCTACCAATTCACCCATCGTTCTATCTCCATCTTGATTGTGCAGGCGGGTTTACCAAAAAACCTGTATTTTATTTTATTTTATTACTTTTTAAATATACCTTTGTCTTGTGCACTTCTCTGTCCAGTGTCAGCCCATCTAGATAAACACCAAACTTTGATTAAAAAAAAAAACAAGCCAGATCACATGTGGATTAAAAACTATTTTAAGTCAATGAGTAGTTCATGCTTGATAGGAAATGAGACAAGAATTTCTCAAAGGATAACAACAACATAAAAGGAGTGCCAATTTATGAACACATACGAGTTTCCTGATTGTCTGCAAATTTGCATCCTTTATGCCGTTATACAAAAATAAACGTCAAGAAAATTCAGAGGGTTTGAGATGAATTGTTTTTCCATTTTAGTTAATCCAAGCATAGATGGAAATCAGCAAGACCCTTTTGACAATATAACAAGTGATAAGAAACAGGTTTACCTATAATCAAACCTGAAACAATTTGGGTTCACTTAAGAGGCCTGTGGACTTTCAGTTTGTGTTAGATTGGGTATGTTAAAGTCAATATGTGGTAAGCTCATCGACTTCCAACAAAAAACATCTGAATCTTCTAACAAAGTATCAATTGAATTATTCCCACACTTGTGTATTCAAGTTATTGCAATATTTTATTTCACATATTTCACCTCAGATAGCGTATTTGTGTGTTTTTCAATTGTTTTTTCAAGGTTAATTTTTACATTTTTTTACACTGCAAAACAGAAGTCTGTAATATTTTGAGTCAATGAAACTTGTAGATTGTCTTTATTAAGTTTTTAAATATGCCGTTTATTTTATTGTGTATTTGCAGGATTTTTAGTAGAAATTCAATGCTTAATCGTGAAACAAAGGTTAATTTTCTTTTTTATGTGCAGTGGCGGGGCGATGAACCAAGATGCCACCTGCAGGCCTCGCGTTCAGCTGACAGGCTGCATGTTCCCCAGCCCAGAGAGGTCAGCCGCAAGATGAGCACCAACTCCGAGTATGCGGTTATCACATATGCCTGACTATAAGCACTTCAGCCAGCCTTTCTTTGGACCATGTGGTCCAGGAAGCATCCACTGTACCTCGGTAAAATTTTCCAATCACAATTTCATAAACTTACACTTAAACTGTGTAAATTGTGATTCAAATACTCCTGTTAATGCTTGTTTTTGCAAGGTCCATTCCATCAAGGGCTGCTTAAAATGCAGAAGTGATAAAACACAAATAGAGAGTAATCATCTACAACAAAGCACAGGTGCTTTCTTGTTTTGCTGATGCTTTTCACTCTGACAACGGCAGGCCTACATATGGACAGCATGCATTAAGTGTATAAGTTGATACAGTTAAATTTTAATGCATTCTTTTTATCTTCAAATGGATCCCTCTAAAGGGACAAATAATTTGACTTGAGAAAAATCGTTTCAAAGATGGTTTTGTACAATTAAAAGATAAATCCTGAACAAAGCCCCAAAAATACTCACAACATAATATGTTTCTGCTAATCCACATACATTCTGAGTTGTCTTTTCTTGGGATTTTGTAGAAGAAGCATTTTGTTCACATAACCTCTGTGCCAGGGATACATTAGCCTACACACAGCTATTTCAGCACCCAGTAGAGGCTTATCGTGCAGGTTTACTGTGAAGGGAGAACGGAGAATAGATACTTATGCGTCTTCTCTGGTTAAGATGTTGTAAATAGTCTTGTGCATACAAAAAAAAAGGGAAATCTATTTTTCTACAGCAGATAAAGAACTTAAAATAAAACTTCTTGAATAAGGAAATTGAGCAAAATTTTTTTTTTCAAAATCAGGATTCTAAAAGTAATAATTGTGCCAATCTGATAACTGAATAACTGTAAGAACGACTGACTCATTGTAAATAGAATACAAATATAAATACATTAAATGTTTCAGCAGATGAAATCCACATGTATAGCACATTGTTAATACAGTGTTTTATGTATAGTAAATGTTCACAATATTTATGATATGTATTTACTCTTTCAAACTCGAAAGCCCCAAGTTAAGCAAACCGAGATTTTTTTAAAGTTAATTAAGTTAATTTGTAGAAGAAGACTTGAAAACATTCAAAAAGCAACTTGTTTTTGTCTAGATATGATCCTCCCTTATGAGCAGCTTAGCTAGGTTTTGGTGTTCTTTGAAAAAATTCAGGACTACCGCAGTAACCTATTGTTTGAAAACATTTTAAATTACTCATGTTCTCTTTTTCAATAAAAAAAGAAGAAAACAGGGATAATCAATAATCAATTTTTCATAAAAAGCTATTTTATGTTAATCTTATACAATTGTGGAAGTCATTTTTTGCAATATACGCTTCAGTATTATTTAATTTTTTTACACACATTTATTTAAATAAATGTTTTTATGAATGTAACAATGATTTTTTTTCCCTCTAAGTCTATCAAAAATACAAAAAAAAATGTTTATGGGTATTTCTCTTTGCCTGTGTTATCATGTTTTGTGTAAAATAAAGATTTTTATTGAACTATGCTGGAATGTGTTGCGTCATACATGACCCTTGTCTGTCTCCGTACTTGGAATCGTTGCTAAGCAACAGATATCAACATGACCCGGCACTAGTGGTGGCGCTAGCTAACTTTAAACGTCGATTTAGGTCGATTTAAAATGCGTCCAGGTAACAGGTGTTACAACAAACCGTTGTATTAGAACGGACTTTTGAGAAAGATGGTTTACATTTAAACAGTTCACTGGTTCATTAGCGAGATTTACTTGCGAACGTAAACAATATTCAGGAAGTCCGTTGACCAAAGATGCTAGATTAGTGGTGACATTTCACTTGCGAAAAGCCGGAAACCTCTTGCTGTCATTCATAGCGTGGAATCAGGCACGTAGCTCGGGAAAATGTCGGTGCCTTTTTCCAACACTCACCTGAGGGTACCTCGGGGATTCGGGACCCTCTTGGAGGGACTGACCCGAGAGGTTCTCCGGGACCAGCCGGACAACATCCCCGCATATGCAGCGCAGTATTTTGACAAACTTCTGAAAGAAAGAGAAGGTAACATAAGAGCACGAGAAGATAAAGTAGCAGTGCTTCATTGAAACTTCATATTTAATTAAATAAGGGAAATTAAGGTCCTTCTTTCCTTCACAGAAAGTGGGATGGACCCTTCTGAGTGGGCTGCCAAGCTGGAAGACAGGTTCTACAATAACCATGCTTTCAAGAGTGCAGGGGTACACACTTTTTGAAGTTACACCTCTCAACATTTCTCACTAAACTGATGCCTATGTCAGGTTATTGTACTATTATCTTTTTTTTTTTCTAGACTGTTAGTCCTGAAAAGGAAACAGCAACAGAGGAAGCCGACGTTTCCAAGTGAGTGTCACTTTAAGTGCAGCAAGCACGATCAAGAGGAGAGGGAGAGGAAGAGCATGAGGGAAAAGATAGAAATGTGCTCTGATGAAATTACATTGGAGTTTACATTTTCATCAATAAAAAGCCTTACTCAGTTTGTCATTTATTACATTTTTATACTGACCTTTCAACTCAACTGAGCGAGTTAATACAAGGCCATTTTGCGACCACTGTTTTCTCAATGCACTTTTGAAGACAAGTAGGTCCTGTTATTATCCCTTCATACTGAAATATAACAAAATCAGTCCAACTCATTCTGATGTAATACAATTATGTATATTAAGATTTCAAAGCAAAGATTTAAGAGCAATTCTAATGCATTTGTTGCAAATTCAGCTGATTTGATAATCCAATTAGAATAAATGATGTGAAATATGGACAGAAACACTTCACCTATCTTTTTTTTCATTATTATTTTTGCCCAAACTCCTTGGAACTCAAAGCTTGTGAACTCTGCATGTGAAGTATTGTTAGAGGGTTGCCTGCCTGCGTCAACAAACCAGACTTAAGTTGTTGATGGAGAAATAACAAGCTTGTGCAGTGCTCCCATAAGAAACCAAGTTTGGGAAACAGTGGTCTTATTCAGTTGACTTTTGTTTTCTTGATTTTTTGTTGTTGTTTTAGAGCAGGCCATAATGTGTTGTTTTTGGGGCCACATTTTGCTGACGTGTTCTACTCAGGTGATTTCTTGATGAGTAGTTTAGTGCTTAGTAAACGTGGCTTGTGAAATTAAACCAAAAGATGTGGTTAATCACCACTAATTCATGATTTAACAAGAGAGTCATGCATGTGGCCACCTTTTCACACAGGGTAGGGTTCGATTGGATAGATTTCTTTCAAGTGGAAAATTTCATTTAGTATTTACTCAGGTTGTTTTCACCCAATATCAAAATTTGTTTGATGACCTAAAACATTTAAGTGAGACAAACAAGAAGAAGAAAAAACAGAAGATTTTCTATGTCATGGCTGAGAGGAAATGGCGGAACAGAACTACTTGAGACTAAAAGCAGCAGAGAACATACACAGGTCGCAGTTGAGTTTGAAAGATGCATTTAATAAATTCTAAGCATTGCTTTATTCTGTAGTATTTCTAAAAAAATATTCCATTTCGTTGTTGTTTCTCAGAGAAAAACCAAGCGAATCCCAAACTGAAGAAGAACCAAGTCGCTCAGTTGAAGATACAGCTCTTTCCACCGAACATCTTCCTGTTTCAGATATAACTGATTCGGCTGAAGGCCCACAGGATGAAGAAACTGAAGTACAACAAACAGAACAGACATCAGAAGCAGATGAACAGAGCAGGATGGACAAAGATCATGAGCTTACCAAAGCTGAACCTAGTCAAATTATCGGACTAGACAGTGAAGTAGATGAAAACCTACTACACCTGAGTTTGATTCAGGTGGACCCGGATTTGCCAGCCCATAAAACTTCAGATGTAAGCAAGGGAGACCTATCCAAATATGATCTTTCCAGCTTGGGGAAGGGCCGGGAATATAAGAAAGTAGCTCAACCATTTGGTGCATTTGAAGAGCAGGAAAGTGTTGGCTCAGAAGAAAAGCAAACTGTAGAATCAGAACCACTTCAGAGCCTTCTACATTTGACTCTTCATGTGGACACCTCTGCTTCAGAGCCTGGTGAAACAAAAACTACATCAGAAGATGACATTTGTCAAGAAGACACATATTCTGCTGAAAAAACAGAAACTACAACCCAGCTTGAGGAAAATGCTGTCGAATTACCCACAAATCAGTATGAAATCCATCTGGACATCCAACAAGAAGCAAAGGATGAAGCTCAAAGTGAAAGGGAAATAACAGAGACTGAAAGTGAGAGGGAAATAATAGAGACTAAAAGTGAGGGGGAAATAACTGAGACTCAAGGTGAGAGGGAATAACTGAGACTGAAAAGAAAAGGAAATAACTGAGACTAAAAGTGAGGGGGAAATAACTGAGACTGAGAGTGAGGGGGACATAACAGAGACCGAAAGTGAGAAGGAAATAACAGAGACTGAAAGTGAGAAGGAAATAACAGAGACTGAAAGTGAGGGGGAAATAACTGAGACTCAAGGTGAAGGGGAAATAACCGAGACTCAAGGTGAAGGGGAAATAACTGAGACTCAAGGTGAAGGGGAAATAACTGAGACTCAAGGTGAAGGGGAAATAACTGAGACTCAAGGTGAAGGGGAAATAACTGAGACTCAAGGTGAAGGGGAAATAACTGAGACTCAAGGTGAGAGGGAAATAATTGAGACTCAAAAAGAGAAGGAAATGACTGAGACTCAAGGTGAGAGGGAAGTAACTGAGACTCAAAAGGAGAAGGAAATGACTGAGACTCAAGGTGAGAGGGAAGTAACTGAAACTCAAAAGGAGAAGGAAATGACTGAGACTCAAAAAGAGAAGGAAATGACTGAGACTCAAAAGAGAAGGAATGACTGAGACTCAAAAAGAGAAGGAAATGACTGAGACTCAAAAAGAGAAGGAAATGACTGAGACTCAAAAAGAGAAGGAAATGACTGAGACTCAAAAAGAGAAGGAAATGACTGAGACTCAAAAAGAGAAGGAAATGACTGAGACTCAAAAAGAGAAGGAAATGACTGAGACTCAAAAAGAGAAGGAAATGACTGAGACTCAAAGTAGGGGGGGAACAACAGAGACTGAAGTTTCTCTTCAGAAAACCAGGGAAAGTCCAGCAGTCTCTGAGAAGTCTGTCGATAGTGTCAAGGAAGGAAAGCAGGTGACATTTAAAGAAGAAGATGAAATTTTTACTCCTTTAGTGGATCACGAATTTGAAAATATAGATTATGAGGAGACTTCTGATAGTTCTGATGGGACACCTACTGACCCTAAGGAAGAGGAAGGGCCTTCTGGGAGTTAGGAGAACAGCACAGCAGGCGCAAACATCAGCGATAAGGTAATACTGGTTGCTTGCGAAACTATACACTCTGTTATGATGCATTTCACATCTATGCAGTAAAGTTTGCACAGTTTTTGCAAGCAATTTCCTTTTACTGCCATAATTTCCGTAGAACTGAAAGTGATCATTATATTGCCCTCCATAATATTTCAGCAAGCATCCCTTATTGCATAGAAACCTCCTAATTGTGTAACTAATTCTGTTTTTGCAACGCTCCTTCAGGAGTTCTTTCGGCTTGTTCTTGACACATATTCTGGGTGGAACTTTTTTTTTGAGTGCGATTTCACACATGATTGGTCATAAATTTGAAAATGACACAAAAAAAAAATCAATTCTGCAGCCTAGGACTTCAACACTCCAACGGAGTTGAGCAGTCTTTGTGAAGCAGGAAAATGTGCAGGCCAGAAAGAACTCCTTGTTCTTACCACTTTGATAACTAACTAACTAAAAAATAAAAGCAATAAAAATAACACATGTTTCCATATTTTCAACATATCTGCAGGCCTGAAGATTCTGGAATGCCCCACACCTCGACCTCATTCAAAGTTCATGGGCGTTGAGCCAGGAAAATAAATATTTTAACTAACCTGCAGAATATGCCGGTTAGTTGCAGAATATGCCGGTTAGTTGCAGAATATGCCGGTTAGTTGCCAGTGACTAGCAACCTTCCGGCACAAATTGCCGTTTGTTGTTGGGGTTTTCTTTGTGGTTTTTTTCTTTTTTTACTTTTTCTCCAATATTATATATTTAATCCTGTATCCAAATATATTTAATTTTGTATGTACTGTGTATCCGTTTAATCCTGTTTATGTATCCACATATATTTAATCCTGTATATACTGTGAATCCATTTAACCCTGTATGTGTTAATCTGTATATACTGTGTCCATTTAAACCTGTATATACTGTGTATCCACATATATTTAATCCTCTATTTGTATCCACATATATTTAATCTTGTATGTGTATCCACACATTTAATCCCTGTACATACTGTGTATTCACTCTCAAATAGAGAATCGTTTAAATAAATCATTAAAAAGCTCAAAATTATTGTGGCATAAATAAATGTTTGGTGTTTGTTAACCTCTGACAGAAACTGGGGCCTTTTATAGGAAGCCGTACAGAAACACAACTCTCTGTCTGGAGGGAAATGTTTGAAAATGTCTCCAAAATATTTCATTCTTTGAATGATGTCATTTTCTCTCTGATCTCTTCAAATGCCATCTTTTCTGGCATGGCGATAGAAATGACTTGGTGGTCTTCATCACTCTGCATCAATGCCTGTTTTCTTGTAAAAGAAAAAAAAAGCTGTCTGGATTAGATCAACGCCTCGCCCCCCCAGAGTGAAACTGGTCTCTGTCATCTCTCCAAAAGGACGACTGAGGAATTTCTCAAACATTTCCAGTGCTGTCACAGGTAAAACCCCATCTGGTTTGTCTGGACCAACCAGGCTTCTCCAAACATACAGGGAGGGAGTGTAGGAAGGAGTACCGAGAATGTTACTATGGTAACTCCCTCACCATCCACGTGGGGAGGGTCATGGATTTAATAGGAGATGGTGATGCTGATAGTTGCTAGGCACCCTCTGCATCAGTGCTGTACCTTTTGGAGCAGTTTCTAACTCACGGAGTAAAAAAGTAGATCCTAACATAAGTTAAAACGAGGCCACTTTTGCAACATTAAGACAGCTGTGTTGACACCGGCGTATTATTTTTTTATTATGACTTATATTTTCACGAACTCAATTTAAAATGCTGATACTTACAATACAAATTAAGCAGATTAGCTTCATGGGGATTCGTTACCACCAATTCAAATGTGTTTAAAATTTCAAAATATTGATCCATTAATTATCAGAGCAACTCAGCTTCGAGCTGTAAGGCATTTTGCCGCAATTACCATGATGAACTGCTCAGCTAATTGGCATCACTGCGTTGCTGTTTGACATATAACGTGGATAAATGGATGTTTTCTGGTCCTCCCTCTCTCCCCCCGTCTTGTCTGTTAGGCTTGCAGAGGAGTGTGGGCGGCCGTACCAGCTGGGATCAGAGGGATGGAGAGAACTGTTAGCTCTTTCTGCCTCTAATAAATTTATAACACCTGCAAAAAAAAAAAAAAAAGTCCCGCTCCAAGATGCTTGCACAGTTTTTGTTTTCACACTATTAGTAGAATTTTGTTTTTTAGGGGCGGGGGGAGAATCTACTGTTTCATTGCCATCTGGACTTTAAATAGTGTGTCCAGACTGGTCACTTGTTTTTTTTCCTTTTTTCTTAATTGTGAAATTTCTTACTGTGATGGAGAAAGTTGTCAAATTTTAATAATACAGGTTCCAAGCAGAACACACAGAAAGATGGTCAAACTAAATATTTCGCTTGCTCGTGTGATGAGTCATTTCCATTTTAATGTGGTTCTTTGTGGATCTGTTAGACATTTACAAGGGTAAAGTGAGCAGAGTAGGTCAGAAACCCTAATGAGACCGAAAGGATGAAACACATGCTGTTATGTTTGTAGGAGGTCTCTCTTTCTCCTTCTCCCTCTCTCTCTCTTTCTGTCTGTGTGTCCCTGCTTCTCTCTTCCTCTCTCCCTCTCCCTCTGTGCGTGAGCGACTGTTACTGAACATACAGCGACTGCTAGTGAGAGCCAGTCAGGCATCTGTATTGTATCAGAGACCCGTTCAAAGACCGTCCTCCCCGGCCCGAGTCAGAATTTATTCAGGCACTCGGGTTAAACTAGATCAGCTCACTTGAAGACTGAAGTCGTACCAGAGCAAAAGAAATGGACTGTCACAATGTGAGTAAACGCTTCAGATGAACTTTTAACACCTTTTTAGCTGTTTGGATGAATCTGTTGGTACTCAAAGGTGAAGCCCAAGGGTTGTTACTGGGAATGCCAAACTGCATGCAGAAGCTAGAATTGTTTTTATCCTTTGAGGTGGTGTGTTATTTTTTTTTCCTGTTTTTTTCTTCTTCTTCTTCTTCTTATTATTATTCAAAGCTAAATTCCTTAAAAGAAGTGAATATGTCGTACAGAAAGAAAACATGCCAACTTTCCACAATAGATGTGTTTGGCAGTGTATGTCTCTGTTCTCCTGTGAAAGAGCTGGATGCTGGCTGCTCTGTGAGCAGTCAGACAGAGAGGCTAATGAATGCTGGCCGAACAGGTGGGTGGTCACACTCCCACACTAGAAGGGGTTTCACTGGAGACATGATGCGCTGCTTCACTGAGATAGCGGGATGGCAGTGGGGCCGATCTGTGGGCTGCATTGCTTCAGTGGGAAATGTCAGTTCGTTACCACGAGCAAAACACGACGTACGCGCAATCTGTTGTCTCCACAAAAATTGAATAGGTGTTTACATAACTCATCAATATCCGTGGCAATTTTTCACTGACAATTTGTCACCAGCAGGAATTTCTCTGCCCGCCCACTCCGCTTGTCCTCTGGGAAAGTGGATGCTGAGTGGCTGTCGTGGACTGCAACAATTTTTTAGTTTTTTTTTGCTGAATAGTCTTGTTTTGCAGAGAAGGTGTATTTTTATTTCTTTGACAGGGGCCTGGGTGTGAATTTGGCAAGTTTGGAATGATGTAAAGTAACTTCAAGCTGCAGTCTTCAAATCTTGGGCACATGTTAGTTTCTCATGATGAAAGATTCAACTCTTTCCTTTGAAGATAAAAACACATAAAACAAAAAGAAAGTTTTGAAATCAGTAGATTTGAACTGGCAGTGTTTCATTGACAAAAACAGAATGTAGACTTGGAAAAAGTTGAATGTTGACAGACTGAGAACACTGAGCACAGCTGCTAAAATGAACATGCCTCAGGCAAAAAAATAAATAAATAAATACAACTGTTAAGCATTTACAGTTAACCTAGCAAAATATGGTCTCGCAATCTGTTATTGGTGGAAAAACTCCCACAAGTGTTTTATGGAAAGACATTGAGAGAAAACACCATCACATGAAGTCCTGCTGTAAACTCGCTTGTCCTCGTAGCAGGAGGAGTGCAGCCGACCCCAGGAGGAGGAGGACATCTTGGACATCCCCCTGGATGACCCCGAGGCCAACAGAGCCGCTGCCAAGATCCAGGCTGGCTTCCGCGGCCACATGACTCGCAAGAAGATGAAGCCAGAGGACAAAACCGAAGGGGAGGAGGTGAGCAGCACTGGGGATGTGCTCAACAGCAGCCAGGGGGGCTCAGGTCAGTGTTGTAGAGCCTAGGGGTAAGACTAAGTCCCATAATGCTGCAAAGAGGGCATTATGGTTAGCGAATGTAAATCTGGTAAGAGACAGAGAGGCTCTCATCATGTCATAACTGCACTAGATAACTTAAGGTAAGTGATGGGGAAGTTACTTATTTAGATAAAGCCAAATATATTCACTAATACAATCTTAAACATTAGGACAACAGCCATTTAATCCTATACATAATTCAGTCTGTCTTTTAAAAGTCCCTCATGGTTTAACCCAAGTGTGATTAATGCAAGACATAACTGAGTGACTCATTTAATTACCCCATGGGATAGCGACAGATGACTGAATGTCTCGGTTCATTTTTTTCTCCTCGAGAGCTCAGATTAATCTGCCTCTACATGCAAGAGGCATTCAGGTTCCTTTTGCTTGGAAAATGTCAAGTACTGTCATCTCGCACCTATTTACTAGTCTCTATTTGATGTAAGAGAGTGGGTGGGGAAAAAAATTGACATTTAATTATTACATTAGAAAATACTCAACAAGCTGTGCTTATGCTTTACAAACCAATGTTTCTGTGGGTGACAAAAGTCTAAGGAAATGTTTTTTTTTTCCACTATTATTAGGTCAATTTTTATGGTAACTCCCTCACACAAATATATATTTATATAGTTATATATAAAGTTGTATATATATGTATATATATGTTATATATATATATATATAACTCACTGTATGTGAGTTATATAATAACTAATATACAGAATTTAGTGAGAAATAAATGTATTTTAAAAAATTTAAATAAAAGCACAGCAAATTCAAGTGATATAAGATACATAGCCTACTGGGACTTTAGATTTGAAGAGTTGCCACAAACTGTGAGATTAATACAACTGCTTTATGGATATTAATTATTATCAACATTACTAATTGATGTTGAACCTTGAGTTCGGAAATGTTTCCTTTAACAAACGTTGCGTCACATTTGTAACCATGGGGCTGAAAGTGCAGTTAGTCTGTGCGTGACCAATAGAATAATCCTCCAGTGTTTGCTAAAAACAAAACTTAATTTGTATTAGATTAATATAGTAACCTGTAGAAAATAGGACTTTTGCCTTCCCAAAACATCTGGGTGATGTTGCCAATGTCTTAATTTCTCTCAATAATCTGAGCCAATAATTCACATTTATCTGAAAGTCAAAATGACACGTAGTTGGATGGAAAGGCACAAAAAACGTTGGCCATAGAATAACCAAAGCTACATATGGTGAGGCCATGACTGACCTACATTCAGGCAAGAAAATAAAAGAATGAAAACAACAAAAAAAAGAAACGCAGATTACAAAGATAATTATTTCCATCAATCTCCACGAACTTGAATTAAAACTTTAAATATGCATGACCCATTTTTTTCCCAAGTATGGCCGGCTTTTAATCAGGTGAGCGTGTTTAACATGGTGGATCTGCATCAATAATTCTCCCTAACCCAGTTGCTGGATGCTTTGTGTCTTTAGGTAGGAGATGTATTTATAGCTGCAGGTGCATTAGGTACAGTATAAGCCTAAAATGGCCGAGCAGAATTAATGGACCTGTCGGAGGGGAACTGAGCGTCTTGAGCTCCTCCCACAGGGGTAGACCCCCTTTCTACAAGAGACGTTCTCATCAGTCATTTCAACTGTCACCCTCCAGATAACTCCAATATAAACTATACACTAAAAGTTTGGAGAAGTAATAAACATATTCTGAAACCAAAAGTTTTCTCACTTTTTTTTTTTTCCAGTAGCTTTTCTCAACTTCAGTTTGTCGCTTTGTCTGAGAGGCTCTTTAACCTTGACGGTAATAGATATAGGAACGGTCCTTTCTAGGTTCTTCATATCCTGACTACGCCTCGCCTATTTCTGTTTTTAGAGACAGGAAGATCGGGGTCAGTAGAGGGAGACGACACATCTGTGCCGGAGCAGTGACACCCTTGTTGTCCTGACCTGGATGATGAGAGGGAGAAGAGTCAAGAAGAGGTAGTGAGAGATGTGTGGAACAAGCTGGCACAAGCTGGTTTGCAGGCTTACCTTTTTAATCCCACCCCAACAAAATCATATCCCTCCCTCCCCCAACATGAGTTAGCTTAGAAAATGAACAGTTTCGAGGGTGTGTTATGTGAAATATTTGTGAACTTTAACACTCCCTCCCTGCTTCTTTGGCGGCCTCATCAGTACGGATATGTTTGACCCAGAATTTGCGACTCACTGCATGTACTTGTGAAATTTCTGGTACTGTGCTAGTTTTTAGATGATGATCTGTGAATGTGAAAATGAATGTCTGCCAAAAGCTAAACAGGGCTTATTTTTTGAATGGATCAGTGCATATATCCTGTGTATACATCACTTTTTGTGACCAGTGGCTTCTGTTTTGTTTTGATTTGCCACGTTTTCTTTTTGTTGTTGTTGTTGGTTTTCTTTTTGTTTCTGTTTTTTGATGTGCTTGTATTTTGACCGTTTTCTGACTTGCTTACAAAAACAATTAAAGCATCCAAATCGCCAAAAGAAAAGTAGCTATGTATGTTCTATTTTTTGTTTATATCTTTCTGGCCATGTGATACTTTTCACAACAAGCATTTTTCTATAAATCTGATCTTCCAGAGCAGTAAGCATGCTGTATCTACACTCTTATCCAGATGCATTTTGGTACAGCTTTACCTTATGCGGTAATAGTTCTATATGCTCTGTTCCTGTGTTGTGCTGTAAGTTTTTTCAGAGCCCTTGTGCTTCAAAAATTAACTGAGTAGAACCTGAACTTTGGTGTAGAGTCGTGGCATTACACTAATAAATCCATTCTAACTATACAGTGAAACTTGAGGATGTGTTTGTTTCAAACAGGCCCCATTGATGTTCAACTGCATCTCGTCCTTCCATTAAATGGTTAAAAGTTCAGCCGCTCGTTCTCCTCTGCGACAGTAGCAGAGTATTTAATCAGAGGAAGCATGTTTTATTGAAGCTGAAACATTTTTTTTGTCTCCTGTGGAGCTCACTAATGCAAGAAATCTCATGAATAATTTATTACACAAACGTGTGTTTCTCGAGCTGCAGACAAAAGTTCCCAGGTTTGGTGGCAATAATGTTTATTAGACAACACGGCTTTATTATAGTAATTATGTTTTGCATAGTTGCAGAGCCGGCGTAGATTAATGGCACAGATGCGCTAATCACATCTCCAGATGTTTTCTCCACACAGTGATGTATGTTTTCTCACATAGAGAGCAACAGTGGCTTGCAAAATTATTAACTTTTCCACATTTTGCCACATCGCAGCTACAGACCTTAATGTAGTTCAATAAGATTTTAGGTGCAGCACAAAACGGTGCATGACAAAGAAGTAAAGCGTAAATGCTGCAAAACTTTTTTTTTTCTTAATTTTTTTCTTTTCTATGAAAATTTTAAGAGTAACAAGGCATATATAGTGAGCACCTGTTTACTATGACACCCCAAAATAAAATGCAGACCAAGAGTGGCCTTCACAAGTTCCTTAACTAGTAAAGTGAGTTGATATGTATACAGCTGTTCTGTCAAGTCCTCAGAAGATTGTTGGGAAATATTTGTGAAGAAACAGAATCATCAGAATCATGATATTCAGTTGTTGAAAGCAGGTTTGGGATATGAAACAGTAACTCATAATTTGAACATCTCAAACAGCAATTAATTACTCAATCCACCATCCCAAAATGGAAGAAATACTGGACAAGATGGTCATGATAACTTTAGGAATCATGAAAACTACCAGCTGTGAACAGCAGAAATATGGACTTGTTTTTAAGGGCGGCCAGAAAACACCTATAAGAGGCTCTGTTTGCAATTTGCCAAAAGCCGTGTTGGTGCAACACCAGAAGTGTCTCTGGTCAGAGCTGAACCCAAAGGACAAGGGACATTTTAGGTTTACATTCCAAACTCAATGCGGGAACACGCCAGCTCCACGTTGTAACATGGTGGTAGCAGCGTCGTGATGTGTGAATGCACTCTTCTGAGAGTACCAGTAAGAAAAAGTTTATGTGAAGATAGATGGGAGTCTTATAATTGAAGATATAATAAATTTCACATTGATCCAGAACTATGATGGATAGCATGTTCATATCTAAGAATGGCCTAGTCAAAGTCAAGACCTGAAAAACTCCTATTTTATTGAGCATCCTGATCTATTTGTACAAGAATGAATGTTGAAGTTTGAACAGGTGGTTTGGGAAAAATATCGACATAGGTGAGTAAGTGCAGATGCATGCCACACTTTTCAGATTTGTACTCGTAGAAAAAAAAAGTTTTGAATGTCATGTATCCCTATCCTTCCCAGTTGCTTTCTACTTTGTGCTTTTCTGATATTATAAGGTTGTGGCGCAACCGATGTGGAAAAAGGTCAAGCGGTATAAATAACTGCGCAAGGAGCCGTTTTCAATAATAGACGACTTATTGCAATAAGGCCGGCTAACCCACCGAAGAGTACCTCCATTTCTCTGTATCTGCCGAGGCAGTCTTGTTCACTTTATGAGAAACAGGATAGTGCATCTTCAGTCTCCCTGTGCACCCACTCAGCCCACCCACACACATCTGAGCCACGCAGCGCACTGCACAAACCCGGGCTGCACATGCTTCCTCACACAGGAAGAACACAGCCCATACTTTAACATGCTCATCAACACTCGAGTCACTCATTCCCACGTCTCTCATCCGCGCACACTGACACACACACTGACACACGTACGCAACTGATGGGCTGTGTCACCAGCTGTAGAGATAGGACAGCCGACGTCTCGTTAGAAGTGGTTTGGCAATGGCAGAGTGCAAACACTTCCTTCTCAGGCTGACATTACTTCTCCTCCTCCTCCTCAATCTCATAAACATCCTCTACGGGTTTTATTTGGACCTATTCTTTTCTCCTACTCAGTCCCAGAGGTGCCATGGCCACGTTCTGCTGTCTCTTTAATGACTGTGGGTGAACAATCAATATTATGCACACCTCCAAACATAGCACAACACCCACTTTGCACTGTAGATTGAAATCTGACAGTGAAGAGAAAGGCATAGTTTAAGGGGGGGGGGGGAACTGTCAGCCTGGAAAACGTGATTGCTGTGAAACTGAAAGGAGGACTTAGTGAAACAGATGGTAGCCTTAAACATCTCTAGAAATTTTATGTAGCTGAAGCTGGACTATTTCAGGAGTAAAAAATAGGAAAGCTCTGCTTGGCTGGCTTGTTCTACTTCTTAGACAGCTTGTCAGTGGAAAAAAGATACCCAGTCTCCTGGGTGATAATTAGAAATGAATAAACCAGGACATAAACAGCAGGGGGCGCAATTATATTATTTCCAGTGGTTATCACACTGGCCCACCATCTTATATATCCCTGTTTTGTTTTTGTTTTTTTAATTATTTTTAGCAAAATTACACAATTTAGCAGGAAGTTACAGGAAAGACATAAATCAACCTTAAAGTGGCAGTACACAAACTACTCCTGATCACTGTCATTCACATAGTTCAAAAAGAAACAAGACACAAAATATAAAGATGCATCAAGTAATGACCACGAATAGCAAAACTGTCTTCATTGTGTCGCTTCACAGGAAAATCTATGCACTGGATAATGTTCCTAGACGTTTAGAAGATCAGTCAGATTTGTAGGGACACACTTTTTCACAACCATATGTTCATCAGGAAGAAAAAATGTTGCCAACTTCTTCTTTTTCTTTGCTTGCTTTTTCCACGAATAAATGTCAAAGGGAAAAAAAAGCGTGGCTGAGAAATGTCATATGGATTTCCACACTGAAGAGGAAACGTGCCAAACCTACTTTGTGTGTATTTGGGTTGATGACATCACAGAACAAGAATCCAGAACTTTAACTGATGCGAATATACTTACATTTCTGTGTGAATCTTTACTTGAGACTTAAAGAATATCTTTCTTTCTGATCCACAAGCAATGAGATTGTTTCCCTTTTCTTCCTTCTCATATTAACAGCGAAGACGCCATTGTAATGTTTACCAATTGCAATGGCGTGGGCAGACATAAAACTCGGGACTTGGAAAAAATTCTTAATGCAACACATTTACCAGGTTGCTTTTTACAGCAATTTGACTTTAAATAATCACTAAAGATCTTAGACAAAAAAATAAAAAATAAAATCCAGTTTTTACAGAGTGAGCCTTGGTTTCTTCCCAAAAATGCTTCCACATGTTTTTTGATTGCCATACATGTCAAAGAATTTTGAAAAATAAACCTAAGTAGGAGGAAAAATAAAAAATATTTTGAAAAACAACCTTGACATATTCAAACGTGAGATCTGGATGGAGTTGGGTTAATTTTACAAAAACGTCTGGCGAATAACTTTAGTGAGAACAACAATGGCTTCAGTCATGAAACTTTAAGCTAAAACTGTCTGAATCTCTCAGTCTGTTTCCCTTTCGTGTCTGAGAAGAAGCGTCCCACTTGACTCAGAGACCATTAGAGGATGAGGGGAGTGGCGAGGTCTGCTTTCGAGCGAGAGGTTTGACTTTGACGGCACGGTGCACAGGGGGCTGAACGTTTGGGTGACTAAATCAGTAGCTGCTCCCACAGTCCTGCAGCTCTTTGTCAGAGTGGGAATCACGGTTTTAATCTGGAGTTTGTTGGAAACAAACTCCAGATTAAAAGAGAGCGTCTGGAAGAGATAGATCACTTATAATGGCTGCTGCTGACTCATCAGACCACATGCAAAGACTTATATATCTGGAATGAAATAAATCAACAAACTAAAAAACGAAAAAAAAGAAAAAAAAAGATCTGGTAGTGGGCAAAAGATGTGCTAAAGTCTTTCAATTAAGGTTGTCTGCCTCATCTGTTGCTTCTTAGGTCTTTTTTTCCAGCAGTGCATTTGATGTTCATGGCCCAGGCTGTTCTTTTGATGCATCCTCCTCCCCACTGCTCACTTTGTTTCTCAAATGAGAGGTTGCTGTCTTAATGCAGCCTCGACTCCACCTAGAGGACAAAGTAAGTATCAACTCATTGTTTATCACGATAAGGTAATATGCTGCTCATTTTGTCATAAAATAAATAAACAGGCGCAGCACCTTGCAAAAGTATGCGTCCCCTTTGAACTTTTCACATATGTGAAAAGTTCAAAGGGGACGCAACCAAAGAATTTATGGTTTTCAAAGTCACTTTCATCGAAAAAGAATCTAAAAGATGTTGTTTCTTGTTTTAACTCGGGATTCAAAATCCCTGACCAAAGACTTCATAGAACCAGCTTTCACTGCAGTCACAGTAGAAAGTCTCCTTTCTACTGATTTACTTTCTTTATTTAACTGCATGTTTACATACAGTGTGCTTAATGCTGTGAATAAGCACAGAACAGTGAGACAAAAGCAGCCAAAAAAGTCACTTTGTGTGTTTCTTTAAGAGTTGCTGATTTCTTTGAGCCCAGTCACAAAGCAAACACATTAACATTTAATTCTGTTTGTAGATTATAGCTTCAAAAGCTAACAGACACAACAAGGCCTGTTTAAAACACGTTTTCCTTTCATCCCCTACTTTTAAAGATCAAAGTGAGGAAGAAAAGAAGGGCTGATCTACTCCAACCACACTGTCTCTGTGTCACATGAACACACACACACATACACGCGCACACACAGTTGGCTGTTGTTGGCTGCGAGTGGGGTGCTGTGGGGAGAGTGGGGCTCAGTGTGACCAGGCAGAGGCCAGCGTCGCAGGCAGGCAGTGGAGAGAGTGCTGTGCCGCAGAGACGTGCCCGGGGTGGATAAACCATGCTCACTGAGCGGGAGAAACACTCTGCCCAGGACACAAGATGAAGGTAGAGAGGAAGCCCTCCTCCAAATTCAGCAACTTCAGGGACATTCCTCCACTGCTGACGCTCCTCAGCCTCTACCTCCTCCTCGTCCTCTTCACGGGTAGGTACCGATATTTGCCGTCCAATCAAGAAAGTTGACCAAACTTAACAGAACATTTTGAACAGTTTGTCACCTGGGAAACACGAAGAGTGTTAACTAGTTCTTTTTTTTTTATCCCTGACATCATTCTTTAAATGGAAATAAGCGAAAGGTTAAATGAGTCTAAGAGATTTCGCCTTTTGTGTTCATATGCTTTGTCTCTGAATGGGTTTGCTGAGTTCCCACTTTGTGCCCAAAGGGAACTTGAAGAGGCCATTAAGAGAGTATATGAAGAAGACAATACGAGGTCAAGAGGGATGATTAAGAACAGTTCATATTTTTAAGCTCTCATTCCTGACGACCAACCGAGAAAAATAAATTTGACAACAGTACCATGGGCCCAGTTAACCCAAGCAGGCCACATTTGGTCAGAATCACTGGATCCTGTGTCTATCTCCAGCTTCACCCCTGACAAAGAATTTCTCTCTGTAAGCCTCTCTCTCTCTCTCTCTCTGTCTCTGTCTCTCTCTCTCTCTCTTTCTCCTCTCCCTTTTCAAGGGAGGAAACTCGTTGCAACAATCGTGCCCTTTGTGTTATTGCCTTGGCAGCTCTTGTCAAGGGGACCAAACGGTTACCACAGCAATGAGGCGATGCCCTGCTAACTGCTTCTCTGTAAAAGAGCGTTGCAGACTCTCCGTCTCTTACAGACTGATCTCTCCATCACTGGAGCCGAACAGTAGGATGCCCTCCATCAGGCTCACAGCCAATGTTTGGACCTCCATGTGTCCAGCTACGGCTGAGTTATAGCTACCTCCACTGTGAACCTAATGGCTTTGCTTTGTTTGGTTTCCCAGACAGGGCTCCACTGTAAAGGTAAAATGTGACTTACAATATAAAGCCTTGTCCCCATAAGCCCCTAGGAGGTGGGCAATAACAGGGGAACACAAATCAAAATTAGTACAAGGCTTGTTCTCTCTCTCTCTGAGAGGTCATGAGAAATTCCAGCAGTGAGTTTCTGGGAAGCAGATTAGCGATTGAGATGTAAAGGATCCAATAAACACAGGCATGCGTGTCATCAAATCAGTCTCTGGAGCACTTTGCTTCACTCACTGAAGAGGAAGTTGTAATAATCAAAAAAGAGAAGTCTTCTAAAAAGTTTCACATCTTTTTCAATGGCATGCCCCCGCACCCCTGCATAACCTTTTCATCCTCTGATTTTTGAATTATTTGTTTCTAACACCACTCACGTTGGCCACCTTCCAAAATGCTGAAAAAGAAAAAAAAGTTGTTCATGATACGAGAGGTCAACTAATTAGTTCGTGGCAGTTGCTCATCGTCGTAGGTGTGCCAAACTTGCCACGAGGCTAGAAATCTGTAGATGACTTGCTGTCGATAACAACACAGAAACTGAACAGCGAACGACTCTTTCAAATAGTGTGGGGGCATGCACCATCAGCAGCTATCTTTAGACTGCATGTTGGACTTTGCAGATCAGCTCCAGGGTCTATAATGCAATATGACACACTGAAATCAAGCAGGGGATAACAGAAAGGGATAATATTTCAGAAAAATAAGTGATTCTGTCTGATCATAATTTTTTCCTCTGCTGCACAGCATTTCCCCAACCATTCACAGCTGGTTTTTGTGCAACTCATCAACAAGTGACAGATAAAGCCTGTGACTCTGGAGGAGCTGTGGAAACCCATAGCTCACATGGCGCCGTGGTGATTTGCTTCCTCTGCAGAGACAGGCAGGCTTGTCATGCATCACAGGATCATGGACATAGCTAAATGCAGCGCAATCCTGAAGCAAAACTGATTTATTTTGTGAAGAATAGCTGAAAGCTCACATTCCTGCAGGATGATGATCATAAAAATTTCAGCCATGTTGGCAATGAAATGGTGTAGTTCCAACAATGTTCATTTTTTAACTATTATTTCACTGAGAATCCGCAACCACATTTTGAAAACTGTTATGAAAGACATTGTCCATTCGATCTGAACAGTTTCAGCCATTTTGTAACCCAAAACTTTCAGTCACTAAATAAATAAAAGACAAATCTCAAAACATCTGCAGCAGTGGCCGCATAAAAATGATTCAGCAAAGTGTTGATTTAATGAAACTTAACACAATGCAAACACACATCACACTTTTTTGAATTTTATGAGTAAAATGAAAAAGGTTTACTTTCCCCCCTCTTCACAATTAAGCACCATGTTTCGATTGCCTGTCACATAAGATGCCAATAAAATGAACAACTTTGTGGCCTTGTTGTGAAAAAGAAATATTTAAGGAGTGAACGAGGTCTGAAAACTCTGTCAACTGCACATTTTTTTCACCAGTTCTTGACCTCACCACTGTCTCTCTGCCCTCCAGGTGAGACACTTGGCGTGAACGTGACCAGCCAGACCCAAGTGGTGAGGGGCACGGTGGGCAGAGAGGCCCTCTTGTCGGTCAGCTACTCCAGCAGCACCACTGACAAGCCTGTCATCAAGTGGCAGGTCAAGAAGGACAAAGTAAAGCCCGTCACCATCGTTCAGTCAATCGGCACAGAGGTCATCGGAAACCTGAGGCCTGAGTATCGCCACCGAATCCAGGTGTTCGAGAATGGCTCCCTGCTGCTCCACAACCTGCAGCTGTCAGATGAAGGAACGTACGCGGTTGAAATCTCCATTACAGACGACACGTTCACTGGAGAGCACTACATTGAGCTGACTGTGGATGGTATTCAGACCAACTTTTGTGCACCACGTTGGTTTTAAATAAATACCATGCTACTTATTTTTAAATAATATATTTATGTGTATGAAAAACACAGTGTGATTGCGATATGGGCTTATGGGCTGTGTTAGTGAGTTTTCTATCATAGGAAATTCTCTCTCAAACCTTTTATACAAGTGCAGCTCAAAACAAAATATCGTAAAAAAAATGAACATGTTTTGTCACTTATTTTACACAGTGAAATAGATTAGTTGATCTCGATAATATGGACTATATTTTACATTCCCTGTGAGACACAATCATCAAAATTGCAAGAAATGCAGGCTTGAAATACTTAAGTGACTAAAAGTATAGAAGTGTTTCACCATGTTCTGCGTCTTTGTGCCGTACTTGTACTTTGGTCCTGTTATCCTCCTCAGTTCCTGTGTCAAAACCTTACATCCAGATGATGGCTTCTTCCGTCCTGGAGTACAGCGAGCATTTCCACCTCCACTGCTCCCACGATAACGGCACAAAGCCCACATACAGTTGGCTGAAAGGAGGGAAGGTGCTGACCAATGACTCACGCCTTCTGCTTTCACACGACCAGAAGGTGTTGACCATCTCACGCGTCCTGATGTCCGATGACGACGTCTATGCCTGCACTGTGGAGAACCCCATCAGCAGCATGAAGAGCGTCCCTGTTCGGCTCACCGTCTACAGTAGGTGACTTGTTACTCTGCCAGAAGCTTTTCTAACTCAAGATCATGAGAGGAAGGAGATGATGGGCAAGCAAAACCTGTTGGGTAATTTGTCCTAAATGCATCAAAGTCTTTCCTCAAAACATTTTTTTCAGCTCTCAAAAATTTAAGGTGAAAATATCTGAAATATTGTGCTTGAGTACAGAACCAGTGAACAACAAACATTGATTTATGTACAATTTGTTTTAATTTCTTATACTGGTCTTGATCAATAGGCTTTTTCAACTTGTTTTAAAGTTTTCCTCTGACTTGTGACTGGTTTTTGACTAATTTTCTTTACAGTCTTCGTGTCTGCTTTTGACAACATAAAATAAAATCAGAATGAATAAATGTGAGACAGAAGACATAAACAAATACTAAGAAACGAAAATGTGACATGAATGAAAAACAGGCTTTTGGAAACGGCCATTGCTACTAGATGACAGTTTTGCTGAAATCCCTCAAACATTTCACAATGTATTTGTTCCCATAAACGTAAATCTGCCCATTCACATATCAGGGATAATAAGTTTAACTTTTCAAGATATTTCAAGCTTAACACTGTCAATGTTGTTCACAGTAACAAATTGTAGTATTTCTCAGGAGAGACTAATTGCTGGTTGGACATTATTTTTACAAATTACTTTCAACAACAAAATTGATCAGAATCAATGTTTGACTCTCCCTGGTTCAGTTAAATGGAAAATCCCAGATGCATAAATGAATTGAAGCGAGACGGCAGCTTTTGTGTTTTTATTTTATTTTATTTTATTTTTATGAAGAGTATATTAATCACTTAATTTGAAGGGGTTTATAGAAACAGCTGCATGACAAAATTTAAGATTTTAAAGCAAATTGAACAAGTTCTGCATAACTCTGAGCTTTCATGAGATTTTTTTTTTTTTTTTTTTTTGCAAACTGGCTGTGGAAATAATAAATAAATGTTTACTTTAAGGGTGTTTTCTAAATGTTGGCTCATTATCTTCTAGCTAAAACCAGAAGCACTTGTGGATGATCACAACTTAGGAATGATTTTGAGTTAAATAGCATATTGATATTTAGACTTCATATTTTTATATTAACTTAAGCAAAGGTTGTACATTTTAAATCCCTTGAGTTCGGAAGCCTTTTATCATCTCTGAATTTAAATAAAGAATTAAATAACATGCATGACTGAGTGGAAAAGCAGCAGAAGTTCAAGGAAAGTCTTTGTAAAACTCACAGAGATCTGAAAGAAAGGCTTAAGCTCACCTTACTCTACAGAAGCAAACCACACAAAAATGAAGTGTGTCTCAGGACTTTCAGTACTTTGTTCACAGCCCGTTCATTTTCAGGGGCCCATCAGAGCAATTATCAACTCACGGCAGCCAGTACACAGGCATGCTGGCCTCCCTAACAATGTTGTTGACGACCAGTGCAAATCCGGGCTGTGATCGTAAGGGCGATGCCTCAGAGCGGCTGTTATGGGGCGCCAGGGCAGGACTGCGAACCAGGCTGGGAGAGATGGGCGTGTGGGCGTCTCATCCAATGAATGAAGAGTTATTTGTGAGGAGGGAGACGGAAAAGGAGGCAGGTGGGGGAGAGCGCTCTGCCTCAGTGAGCCTCAGTAATTCTGACTTCATTATTGCTGTACTGTTATGTGACGCATGAGCAGATTGCTACAGGCCCTCCGACATGCTCCACACTTCCTCTGCATGCATGGCAGCGCCACACAAAATCTCAGAGTGACTCCCCTTTCAGCTTTGATTACAGCAGCAACAGTGCTTTTAAAAGGCAGAACTTTAATTATTCTTTCATTAATGCCTTTCTTTCTATGTTTTCTTTTTTTTTTTCCCTGTCTACCACTCTGGTTTAGGACGGAGCTCGTTATACATCATCCTGTCCACCGGGGGCATATTCCTCCTAATCACCCTGGTGACAGTGTGTGCTTGCTGGAAACCTTCCAAGTAGGAGCTGTTCTTTTATCTCTCCCCCCTTCTTTTCCAACATTTTTCCTCTCAGCCTGTTTTTCCCCTCTACTCTGAGAGGCTTTGATAAAGCAAACAATAATGTGACAAGAATTTCAAGTAGCTTAGCTGTGAAGTGGGAGGGGGGAAAAAAGCCATAGTATTTGCTGTGTCTGAGTTTATCAGAAAGTTTTGTTTTTTAGCATGAGTGGATGTTTCTTTGGTGTTTGTTGCAGAAAGAAGCATCGACCTGTTCCCCAAAGAGCTCCTCTCTACATGGAGCAAAGCGAAAATGGACATGATGGTGAGAAACAGTTTAACTTTAGCCTTTTTTAAGCTGTGAGGAGGATTTAAATCATGTTATTCTGGATTTGGGAATAGGTTTGATCCAAGCATCAATAACCAGTCAGTGTAATCCCAACTCCTTGTAGACTAGAGTCTATATTAGTTAAACAGTGAGTCCTCCTTTCACAGTTTACTGCTGGTGGTGAGTATTTAACAGATAACAAAGGTCTTAGTAGAAGTACTCTGCTGCCATCTACTGGTTGTTGTTAAGCCCAGTTATTCTTGAATTGGCTTGCAAGGTAAATATGTACGTGTTGTTGGTGCTATATTCTGCTCTGTTTTCACATATCTTAAAACTGAAGACGTATTTTATATTCTGGTAAATAAATTCAGGAAATAAATACCATATCTAAAATGAGAAGAGTGCAAATCAAACATTTGTGACCACTATCCAATCTCCAGTGTTTGTAAAGTTTTGTCCTCCTGAAACCGACTTACAGATATAATTCAACAGAATTCAAAATATAATCCTTGTTACTATAAATGGTTATGATTTATTCATACAAGTGACAGAAACAAAGTTGAACTACTAACACAATTTAAGCTTGTGTTAGCATTCAGCACAATGAGCTCAGTCAGGAGCTACAAACATGACTTTGTGTCGTGTCTTCTCTGGAACGTCGACACGTACTTTGACTTGGATATTTAGAAAAACGCTGCCAACATTTCCAAATCCTGTATGTTCCCAAAAGTATAAAATAAGAAAACTTTATCGTGACATGTTTCACCTTGCTGCAAAGAACTAGTTTGCCAAGTCCACAAAACCTCCTCAAGGTGTGAACTGAAGTTCATTTTCTAGCTCATCAAGTTGGGTATGAAGCTGCCTTGTTTGGAAAACCTGAACACAGGCAGGGATGCAAGAGGAAGGTCAAAGTCCTGACTCCCAAAACTACTAAAAGTACAGATCCTAAATGCTCATGATAAACTACAGTCCTGGACACAACGGCAGAAACGACCAGAACTACTAAAACACCAAATAACAGCATTTCTTGATTCTGCCTAAGTCATGTAACAGGATTGTCTTTTGCAGTTGATGTGGTGCCGAAGCCAACTACGCTTGGCCGAAGGAGCCCCATGACTCTTTATGTTCTCAACGAAGATGTAAGTCACTCATTTATTTACAAGACCTCTATTTAGTCTCCATGTTGTCTCTTTGAGACTGAACATGACTAAAAGCATAAAGCAAAAGCTAAGCGTGCCCACAAGCACAGTGGTAGCATCCTGTTGAGTTAAAAATGTACATTTATAATGTATAACCCATAAAGTGCTGCGTATTTCTACTCATTGTTTTTTCAAGAGATGTGCAAGTTTTTTTTTTTTTGTAACTTTTGACTTAAAAGAAGAATTACATAAAGAACTTTAATTGTCAGATTGTTCAGACATTCTTTGAAAAAACAGCAATAGGATCAAACCGAGTCCATCCATCCATCCATTTTCTGGTCACCCTTCTCCTTAACGGGGTCGGGAGGTGCTGGTGCCTCTCCAGCTTCGTTCTGGGCAAGAGGCGGAGTAATCCTGGACAGGTCGCCAGGGCAACACAGAGACAAACAGGACAAACAACCGTGCACACACACTCACCTAGGGAGAATTTGGAAAGACCAATTAACCTGACAGTCAGGTTTTTGGACTGTGGGAGGAAGCCGGAGAACCCGGAGAGAACCCACGCATGCAAAGAGAGAACATGCAAACTCTATGCAGAAAGAAATCGAACCCAGGACCTTCTTGCTGCAAGGCAACGGTGCTACCAACTGCACCACTGTGCACTTATGTGCCACTTATGACTAAGTCATAAGAAGAAAATTAGGACTAAATTTGTTTAGTAAAAGTTTTAATCTGAACTATTTTAACTGTTTGTTTTTTTCACATTAGACCACTTTGGGATTTTACAAGATGAACAAACACGAAGTGACAAAATGTTAAGCTGAAGGGAAAAGACGAATGGTTTTTATTTTTTTTATAACAATCTGAAAATGTTATTTTGTATTTAGTCCCGTGCTGATAAATAGAATAGAATAGAATATGCAAAAGATTTAAATTTTAACCGAATAATTTGAGTTGTATGTTTTTTTCTTTTATTATTTCAGGAGACTCTGGAGCATCTGGAAGAATCCTCTGGCAACACTGCTGTCCAATCAGAAATTAATATCCCTGCCACCTATGTTCCAGTCCTCCCCCCGACCACCAACAGAACTGAACGACCGATCTGGTCCACGCCCCGCCGGTACCCCCGCAGCCCGTCTCCGCTGGCACAGCCTCTCCCTCAGCCCCTCCCCGCTCCCCTGCTACGTCCTGTCTGCTCTCCGGCTCGCTCCCCGGCGAGCTCTCCGGGGTCCTCTCCCCGCAGTTTCAGCCCGGTGAGGAGGGTCCGTCCTCCAGTGGGCATCCCAGTCAGCCACCTGCCTGTGGAGGCAGAGTGCACAGACCCCAGCGATCAGACTCTCAACTCCTCACAGCACTGACAGCCGTATGGAAAATAGTTTTCACCCTGAGATATGTGAAATGCATGTTTAGTTTGGGTCCCACGTTCTAGGTTAACAATTTTTTCCTAGTGTTGGTATTTATGATGCACTTCTTTATGGCTATGCATAAAAAAATTTAGATCCTCTCCTAAGTACGGTTCAGTGTTCTGGTATATGCAGATCTATTTGTTTTAATATTGTGAGTTTTCGAATTAGAAAAAAATATAATAAAACACAAAACAAAGTCCCAGCCATATTTATCAGCATTCGTAAAAAAGCCTGATACTGAATTTGAATTTTATTGATGCATTTTCGTCTCGCATTAAGTGTAATTATTCAGTCAGGAAAATAAATCCCATGTTGCAATATAATTGTTTCAATCAAACATATTCATCAGGCATCTCTGCTGTTGGTCTCATCTAATGGGATGTGAATAGATCAGAGCATACATAAAGAGGGATATTTATCTCATCCTTTTTGCACATCACCCAGAATCCTGAACTGTCTTTATCACCTCATAGATTTTAAGTTCTCCAGATGTTTTATTTAATACATTAAATGTGATGCCATTCACTCTAGTAAAGTTCTCAGGGGCTATGGAAGAAAAACAGTCCCACACCATCACAGATCCTCCACCATACATAACAGTGGGGTGTTTTTCTACTACTTCTTTCTTCACGATTCTCCAAGTATAAATAAACTCCCCAGTTAGATTTATTTTAGGACAGTTGTTTGAGTTGGCACTGGTGATTTTGTCAACAATTGCTTGTTAAGATATTTTCTAGCTCTGAATAAGTACACCCATATCAAAGGTCAATTAAAAAAATAAATCTGAGTAAGCTCTGCAGAACAAAATAGTGTGCCACTAAATGAGGCATCCACACAAAATGTATATAAATCAATAGTTTTATGTTTTTTTTACTTATTTGCTCTTTGTGTTGTTTATTTTTCTTTCAAGACATTAAACACACGTTTTATCTTTTTTTCCCTCCACATTAGGTCACTTTATAACAAATATAAAAAGAATATTGTTATAGGTTGTATCTTCTCATGTACTTTGTGACAATAAATCCCGCAGCTCCTGCATGTTAAATCTCCTGTTTTATTTGCTGACGCCTATTTCAAATAATCAAACATATGACACAATGACATGTTTGTTAAAAACATCTTAAACTTTGGTTTGCCTTCTTTTCTTGATAAAGTTTAAAGTATTTTGGCTGGTTTGTAATGTTGCTGTAATACTTCTTCAGTCCACTAGGTGTCATCAAAACATTGCAACTGATTGGGCAACATTGCATTGTATCAACCTTTACATTTGATCCAAAAGGTATAACAAATGACATTTTGAGCAGGTTTTATCTGTCTTTATGTTTTTCAGTGGTTTAAATTGTTTTGTTCTCTAAATCTAATTTATGTACAAAAGTTGTGTGACTTGTGATATGGATGTCATATCCATAGTAGGATATGCAAATCTCAATGAGGAAAAAAAACTTGAATAAAGCGCAGTGCACAGAGGAAAGTACAGAAGAAGTAAAATAGAAATTAAACACAAAGGAGAGAATAAATTAACTCCGCAAAACTTTTCCACAAGTACTTGTTTAATTAAAGAAAAAGTAAAGAGTAAATGGCACAAGTAGCTTGTTTAGTGGCTTCATCTAGAAGAGACGCACAACTAAACACATAAACTCAGAGCAGGAAGTCCAGTTTATGTCTAATAGATGTCAATCAAGTTTATTCAGATTGAGACATGATTTGTTGTAGTGACAGTGTTATCTTTTAAGCTTTTGTTTTTTTCCCCACAAAAATGACAATAATTTGATAGCACTATATTGTTTTTACGTTACGATATAAATGATAAAAAAAAAAAAAAGAATGTGACCAAAAAAGAAAAACAGTAGAAATCCCGAAGAGGACAATTCCTCGCAGCTCTGTCTGTGTCAGCTGTGTTAAGAGGGAGTTCTGTAAACCAACTCTGTTGTAAATTGAGCTTTTGTCTTTAGCACTGTGGCCCCCGGGTCCTGTTGTGTGCATGTTTGTGCCTGTGAGTCCCTGCCGAGCAGTAGTGAGCAATAACACCAGCAGATTTTTTTCTGCCCTGAATAAACAGCCCAGTCGCACCTCAAAATAGTCAGTAGCAAGAAAAGTAAACTTGTTGGCTTGCCTCCAAAGGCTTGAAATCCGGTTCAAATACATGTGAAATACATTAAACACAGCAAATAACACTCTTCTGACATTTCATAGAAAATCTCTACGCTCCGGAATTGTGGAGCTAATTTTGACGTTTTTGATATTTGGTGCTTTCCAAGTTATCCATCCAAACAACATGCAGATGTTTTAAAGCATCTGCTTTCATTTTTGAAAAAATAAAAATAAAAAATTAGTCTAGGCGTGACCAATTTTCACACTACATTTCACATCTGTCTAAGTATGAAGTAGCACAAGTTTCATAACACTCAGGTTGCAATTTAAAGAGTCTGGATTCAAATGTGATTTTGAATGGGAATGCAGTATTATTAAACAGAATTATTTACCAACTGTGCTATTAAAAGCTCAATATCAAGACGATTTATCATGAGGTCATGTAGATTTATCTTGTAGGTCATGTAGTTGAACAAAGTGTTGTTTCTTGAGTGACTCAGTGCGACTCTGAGGTGCAACTGACAGATAACTTATTCTTTTAAGGCTCACAATGCTTGCTTGTTTGTGTTGCCTTGGGCGGTGAGATGTAAAACCCACACAGCAAGCCCCTTGAATGGTGTAAAAAAAAAAATAACAGTGCCATGCAAAAGCTTTCACACTCCTTTAACTATTCCGCATTCCCCCTCTTGAGACAGGCACCTGCTCCTCCACAACCTTCCAAGGGACGAGCAAGTACAGATGATGGATGGGCTGACACGAAGCACTGATTGTAATGTAGAAGTGAAATGTCACATGCTTCAAATGTAGTATAAAAATCCAACGTTGTGTTCATCCTCCTGAACCAATCACTAAATGCTTCACAGTGGGTGTAATCGAATCTCACAAATCCACCTCTTCAAAAAAAGCTTCAAAAGTTTGTTAGAGAGCTTTAGAAAACCAACAGCATGATGAAGAATAAGGATGAAAACCAGGAATAAAGCATAGCAGGATATTTTCATCCACCTTGCATAAAGGAGAGGAATCTTCTAAGAGGCCTGCAACTGCAGCAAGAACCAAAGCTCAAGTGGAAGAATTTGTTTCCTGGAAAACTACAACGCAATTGTGTCCTTTGACGTAGACATCCTTGGATGTTTGAATTTTGGGGTTCATTCATATTTGTTACTATATTATTGCTCATCAGGTCTTGCCAAACTCAATTCATTAGAATTTCCTTTAAGGTATTTTCACATATGTTCTTTCTTGTGTCTTTAGTTGCTTCATTTTTCATTCTTGAGTTTTGTCAGGTGTTGCCCCAACATGACAGCTCTATCCATGCGTAAGGAACAGTTAAGCAACTATGATTTATTTGCTCCTTCTTTATGTTGCCAAATACCTAAAGAAGCATGGAAAAAGCATAAAACATAAAAACAGGCCAAAAAAAAGAAAAAAGAAATGAGGTGTATTTACATGTGAACGAGATGAGTAAAAATTCATGCAGTTAAACAGGCCCGTTCTATTAGTATAATCAGGATAATGCGTTCTCCTCAGAAGTCCAGCTGCACATGTTTTGTTATGGAAATCCTTCCGATGTTATCGATTGCTTTTATCCCAAAATGGATCTTCCCTCGCTGAAGGTGTGAGTCCCGTGGTTGCATAACCTCATCAGATCCGCTCGGTTTGATCTGCTTATTGCTGTCTTTGTATTAATGGATGCACCATTTGTTCACTGGTGCTCGCGCTCATGAATACACATGCAAGGTGTCCTTGCATGGCAGCAAGGAAAGAAAAGAAATGGAGAAAAGTGGTGCACAATCACTTGTGCAACGTGAAACGCCGTCAGATAGTGGAAGGGGGTGAGAGTTGTTGTGCTTTGGAAAGTTTCATTAATCTCTGGTGAGCTCACTTACTGAACGCTGGTCACACGGTCTATCCTGTCATGTTCCACTTTTCCTCCTGGTGTGGCAGGAGAGCTGGGAAGGGGTGTAATTAGACTCTGGGGGAAATGCATCACTTCAGAGCACAAAGAGGGTGTGTGTTTGTGGGTCTGCAGGTGTGTGGAGAGAAGGTGTCCTCTGAGTTGACAGGAGGTGATCTACGCTCTCCAGTTCCAATTAATCACCTCCTGCCGCCTGGTTGAGCTGCAGACGTCCTTGTTAACACCAGTCGGTCAATTTGAAACTCCCTGCTGAAAGACTTTTATTTTAAAATCTTTGCCTTTTTGAAATATGTTTAGAACTTTATTCAAATCATGGTAAAAAGGAGTGGAGCAAAATTATTTAACTGACTATATATATATTTTCTTTTTTTTTTTTTTACTTTGTAATACTTTCTATAACGGCATATTTTGTATTCCCAAAATGACTTCTCCCATGCTGATGGACCCTGAATTGCACCTTAATGGTATTTTGAATTTTTCCTATTATTATCAACAGAAATGTAAGAATTATCATCACAATGCAAAAGCAAGTGATTCCTTTTTTTTATAACTAGCCAAAAGCTCCCATATGTCCCCATGTTCAATCCACCCATATGTCGTATAACAGACAAACAGATTTGAATAGATGCAGACTTTGATTTGATAGCCAGAGCTATCTTTTGTCTCTTCTCTTAACAACACAGTTATACCATTTTGATGTTACTTAACTTGCTGATTTTTTCAAATTATTCCTAAAAACCAAGTGACATTTCAACTCAGAGGAACAGGTTTCACTGTTACCTGTTTGGCGATGCCCCCCATGCTCTCAGGGGTGGATGTTTTTCTTCTCAAATGCACTTTTCATAAACGTTGATCAAGCTTGAGGTATTTTGCAAAGATCTGGCAAAGGCTACATCATTTGCAAACATAGTAAAACGTCTTTGGCCTTGTCTGAAACCATTCAGGTAAAAACCTCTTACTCTTTCAGACCTGATGATTGTCTCTTTATTCTCCATGGTAACAGTCCCATGGCAACAAGTGCTACTTATATTCACTGCTTTCACATGTCCGGCGTCACCAGCCTCATCACTCACAGCCTCCCTCTCCTCTTCACTGTATGTCAGTGGGCATGCGGCTGTTTGTGTCTAAACGCGCTGTCATGTGAGACGTGAGTGAGCCGGATCTTCTGCACCTGGGACTTTGTTTCCAGTCTCCACTGGGGAGAAGGAGGATCACTGACGCCGTGAGTTCAATACATGCACTGATTTTTTTTTTCCAGCGTTTTATCTATTACTTTGGTTTTATCGATTTCTTACATCCATTGTCTCATTGAAAGTTCTCGTGCTGTTACAAATACGACTTAAGTGTTAAAGTTGTTATTGCTTGATTTTTCTTTTGTTTTTTCATATCTGTATTTCTTGCTTGAATAGCTAATTACCTGTGCAGAGCATACCAAAAAAATCAACCTATTTCCAGCAGATCCTGAGAAGCAGAACAGAGATTTTGACTCTTCAGGGTTGTTAATTGGGTCTCCAAAGTGAAACCTCTTCAGGTGTTTAGCAAAGGAGACAAAAAAAAACAAGCGCCATGGGGTCCAGTTCCTCATCCTTTCCCCCCAGAAACATTTACCTGGATGTTGATGGGACGGTGCAGAAGGTGAGACTGATCATGCATGTTCAAATGAAGAGCTTGAAGTATTGGACTTGATAAACATATATCAAATGGATCCATTCTTAAATATGCACAGACTGGATTATGCGTGAATGAAACTGTCAGGGAGCATAGGAAAAAAAAACACATTAAAGAGCATTAAAAGTTATTGTCACCATCAGGAACAGCATCATTTCACTACTGAAAAGACTAAAACTTTGTTACTCAAACCCTTTGCAGTTCACAAGTTTATTTATGGATTTATTATTTTGTTATGCCTGCAAAAACAAGCACGAGAGAGAGGCAAAAAGCTTGAACAGCAAATATAATAGCAGAAACTGCTATAGCAAGAACAAATACAAACAAAATCAATAAGAATAAATCTCTAAACAGCAAAAAAATA